TATTTTCGTTATTATAAAGGGTATATATATGATCTAAGTTTTGACTACAGGGGCATCAATGTCCCTAAAGTGTGACAAAGGGTATTCTGTATACCATTGACGATAGTTCGGGGATATATTTGTCATTTTTCCCCAAAATAAATTACTACGTGATATGTATACTTAGATTTAGCTCCTTTTTTTGAATTTTTTTTTACTTCAATTTGTTAGTAATAAATTATAATTTGGTGTTATTTCATTTATTATTGCAGTTTAATGTGGAAAGGAGGAATAATATTGATACAAGAGTGGAGATTAATTGTGCAAACAAATCTAGTCTTTTGCTATCAACATTGACCACACTAGATGCCTTAGGCCTTGAACCTCAACAATGTGTTATAAGTTGTTTCAATGATTTTGCAATGCAAGCTTCTTGCTGTGAGGTAATAAAATTTAATCACCAACTTTTAACAATACTGTTAACAAATAATTTTCATGTGTTTATTATTATTTAGTATTTATCAAAACATCTCATAAAAAATATCTCAATTTGGTAATAAATAATTTAATTAGAATTTTTTTTTTTGGTGATATGATGATAGGAAATGGAGCAAAGAGGAGTTACAGATGCAGAAGAAATAAAGCAGGCACTATTCAAAAATGCTGGATATGTAGGAAAATGTCTCTAATTTTTTTACAAAATTTAATTTTGATGGGAAAAAAATGTTGAATGAATTTTGTTAATGGATAATATATTCTTGAATTTGCTTATTATTATTATTATTATTATTATTAGGAGTAGCTCTTTCTCTCTCTTTAATTTCAATTGAGAGGCTATAATGATTTTTTGTAACTTAATTAATCATTTTCAAGATGATATCAATTTAAATATATTTTAAATTTGTAAATCATATGAGCTTTAGTTATTATTAGTTTAATATGAGCCAATGGTTTTCTAGCCAATAACGTGGGAAGGGAAACTAGGGGTAGTCCATCGTTTCTAATTAATATTAATATCTTCCATGAGTTTGTTTGTGTGATTTAATTAGGTTTAAGATTCATTTATTAATTTTATTTTTACTTTTTACTCTAATACAGAATAATTTTTATTTATCATTTTTATCCTAATTAAGTACAAATATTTTTCTTTTCATATTTTTCTTTTAATATTGTTTCAAATCATTTGTCAATATCTAAAATTACGTACATATTAATTAAGATCTCTCTACTTCTTCATTCTTAAGAGAAATACACTAATAAAACTGTCTTTTCATATAGATCGTCGAATAATACTGTCAAAATAGTTATGTTTTTGTATTATATTTTAAAGTATGTGCAATAGGGAATTAATTACTCCATATATATCTACCCTTGACTCTATGTGGATCATGCAAATGGAGGAAACGACAATAACCACATTCATGATGATTTATATTGAAAAAAAAAAGAAGTTTGATGGATTCATTCATGAGAAATGAGTGGTACAATGAAATTAACTCTAAAAGACAAAATTCATTAAGCTAGTTGTCTATTTAGAATTCCATTTTGGATGTTTGCTTAAAGATAATTGAGATTTGAGACTTGAGAGGTTGAGAGGTAAAAATATTGGAATGTTTGATTAATAACAAAAGTTGTTTTTTAAAGATGAAAGAAAAATGTTTTTCCCGAAAAAGTTATTTATTTTTTTGGAAAAATATTATTTAAAAACACTTTATCAAAATTTGGTCAAACACTAGCTAGTTGTAGCTAAAAAAGTACTTTATAAGTTAAATAATCAAACACAAATTATTTTTTATCAAAATTATTTTTTAGAAATCAGTTCTCAAGATGAATTTATTTTTAAAGTTTCTAATAAATTAAGTCATTGTCAATTAAACTTAATTTTATCATTATTCGATCCACAAACATGCATGATATAATACAAATATTATCATTCAAATAAAAAATTAAAATACAGGATATAAGAAGAGTGAAATGGACAATGACTAGAATAAAGGAGAAACCTTGATTGTTGTTTAAAGTCGAAAAGAAAGTTTAATTTTTAAAATAAAATCGAGTATGTAAATGATCCTTATCCCCTACTCAAACCATAAACTATTTTGTATCATAAAGAATTTGTACTCGTAGGGTGTGCATGAACATTCTTGCATTGCAATACATGTACTATCTTTATAAATTATCATATAGTTTTCGAGCGATTATTATTTTATAATAAAGAAGTTGCACACTATTTCCTCCCCATAATGAATATGTTGCACATAAGTTAATTTGAGATTAAAGTGCAATTGTTTTGGTCAATTAAGTTGTACTAAAGCTACTCAAGAATTCCACTATTAAGTAGTGTGATTATTTATATGTCTTTTCATATTAGGCAAATAATTTGTTTAAAAGAATTGTGTGTAGACTTAATTAGGAGGACTAACTTTTAACTACTCAATAACTAATTCTTTTTTTTAATATGTGGTATTATTTGTTATGTCATCACCAAATGCATCATATAAAATATTTAGTTATATTCTAAAGTATATTGAATAAATAGAATATTAGATAAATTAAAGAAAAATTTTGTATTATTATAGATCAAATATAGAATGTTTGAATATCAAACTAAATAAAGATAGATGATAAAAATACTATTATAAAATAATTAATTGTCTGCTAGTTCTTGAATCGTATTAATTGATATTTTATTTTATATATCATTGTCTCATTAAAAAATCTTCATATTGGAAAGTAAATAATGAAAAATAAAAAAAAATCTAAAAATTGTAATATGTTATTTTAGTGCAACCTTCTAGGAAAAAAAAAGGAGGAGATTGATATTATTTTGAGAAATTAAAAAAAAGGTCATATAAATTAAAATAAAAAGAACAATAGATTAAAAGGTAAAAATTCTTTAAAAAAAATTGAACCATAAAATTTAATCGAAATGTACTTGTAAAATATATTTCCTCGATATCATTTTACTTGACATTTATTATTAGGGATGATATCGCAAAAAAATAATAAATTTCTCATTATTTGCTAAAATAGACAATTAAACCGATAAACAAAAAGGTGTCAACAACTTTTTCTTATCCCCTACAACAATGTCATCCCGTTTATCTCGATTGAAACCAAGATCCAAACCAATCGATGAATGTTACCCAACATATCAACAATTACGACAAGAAGAAGAAGAAGAAGAAGAAGGAGAAGCCTTCAACGCTAGAGATGTTTCAGGACAAGAAAACGTTGATAATGATGATGATAATGATATTGATGATGAACCTGTCTGGACATTTCGCGTGTTGTTATTGGGATTATTATCGTTTATTTTCTTGATAATTATCACAAAATATTATCTTCATAAGACATCAGAATGTGTTGTATCGATGGTATGGGTTATGGTGTTTGTGTACCCCATAGGTTTTATTATGGGCAAGAAATTACCAAAAAGGAAGATTTATTTACGTCTAATTGGATTGGAATTTTCTTTGAATCCAGGATATTTTAATACCAAAGAATATGCATTGATCTCTATAATTGGTAATATTGGTGCTGTTTATGGTGGATTAACTTCTGATTTCATATTCAATACCTCTTTCTAGTTGCATTTTTAGAGAGATTTAATATTAGAGTAATTATGCTGGATAAGCGCAAAATTAATATCTGAATAATTTGATTGTTGATTATGTATTGGTTTTATATTATGTTTGATTTGCTGATAGGATAAACGTTGTTTTTTTATACTATGCTTGGCTAATAGGATAATATCTTTATTAAATTATTGTAATATAATTTACTTTGTAGTTTCTCCTTTTAAGGGTGAAATAACTTTGTGAAATTTACTATTAAAATATGTGAATGAAAATTGGCTTGTCGAAAATGATCTTGGCGAACTTTTAGATAAGAATTTCATATTTATTTATGATAATATTTTGATTGGATTGTCAATTAAATATTTATATTTTTTTCAGTAGTGATTGTTATTTGTGCTATGTGTTTGTCCCTTTCATTTCGTTTATTTTATTATCTTGTTGTTTATATACTTGTTATTGTTGATTCTTTTTTATCTCTTCTTGAGTTGAGATCTTTGAAAAACTATTTTTTTATCCTATAAAAAAAAGGTAAAATTTATATATACTCTACCTTCTTCGGATTTTATCCATCGAAACAATACTTGATAAGGGATATATGAAAATTTCGATCAAATAAAAATCGAAATATATGAAACAGTTAAATAGGAGTAGTAACAAACTAATTTATCTATTAAAGGAATAATGATCATTTTTCCTATTAAAATTGTGGATGGCCTCGAAAACCATTTCCTCAAATATAACTCCTTTCGATTCAATTTACGTGACATGATTTAGCAATATATAATGTTGGAAAATTCAATTATTATAAACAAATTGAAATTTGTGCAAATTAGAAACATCAAAATAATAGAAAGTTTAAAAGTTGCAACATTTAACATTTAATATAGAAAGATATACAAAAATATATATATATTAACTTAAGGTCTATATTTCTTCAAAAACCACTTATATATACATGTCTTTCTTGTTATTAGAATTTTATAAATTCATAAATTTATTTAAACAAGTCAAATATCTATATTAAAATCGATAGTAGAAGATGATGTTACATATAATAACCAAATTTACTGATCTCCATAATTTCGATTCAAAATATAGATATGTTATTTAAATGGTAAGAAAATTTGTTTTTTAAACATATTTCTTAAAGTATAACAAATTAGTGGTGTGCCCTTAAAAGTTCAACACTAATATAAATAGTAAATCACTTTATTATAATAATAAATTAAATCCTGAATTTTTGTCTTTGTATCTAGCCATTAATTTAAAAAATATACATAAATTGCGCCCGTTTTTATTTTTCTATATTAATTTAATTTCACCAAAATATATCTCATATCAACAACGAATTTTCCTGTTTTTTCTATGTAACTGCATTATTTTCGCATTAAATGATCGTTTTTAGCACTATATATATATGTATATATTTTATATTTTACAATCATAACTATATTCTATTGAAAACTCATCGATATTTCCCCCCCTTGGCCTCCCTGGCCCCTGTCAAAGGGAATACATACCAAGAAAAATAAAAAGAAAAAACATTTCTTCGGATACAAAATCTTTGTAAGTATTTTTTGTAACGAAAAAATCACTCAACTTTGATCAGGGGTTATACGCGAGGAGGTTACAAGGACAAAAAAGGTTTTCCAAAATTTTGTGTAAATTTTTTAAAAAAATTGTCAATATAGAAAAAGAGAACAATTAGAATAAGTCAAAATACCTAAAGGAAAAAAAAATTAAAAAGAGTCTAAAAATTCTCTTTTTTTGTTCTTTTTGACACTAATTAACATCATTTGCTTGTAACCGAAGCCATGGGAGTCAAGAAAAACATAGAAAATGAATTTGAAGAAGAAATTCATGAAGATGAAGATTCACCGATAGAACAAGTCAGGTGCGTTTGAATAGTGTGATCATCTTATATGAAATATTAAATTATTTGATGGCAAAGTTCTATTTTTTGTAATATTGTTTCCTATTTTACCCTATTGCAAAAAAGAATGATTTTACCTATTTTGAAATGATAAACTTCGAGTTCTGTATTTGTGTTTGGTACGGAGGAAAACATTTTCAAATTCTTTCATATTGGTCAAAAAATTTGAATTGCTTTTTAGAAATAAAGTTGTGTAATTATGAGGAAAAATAACTTCATAATAGAAGTAGGAAAAACAAATTTCACAAATGACATTTCTATATATATATATAGCTTGTATCCTCCACGCCCTCCAAGACACCTATCTTCACCTCAGCTCCAAACTCTCATATTATTTATCTAGATTACGTACCAGACATAAAAAAATAAGTCAAAAACCGACCCTTTATTTTTAGAAAAACATTTCCCATCATATACCGAACACACCATTGATGACATTGTATAGCCACACAAAAATCATAAATTCCTATTATAGCCTTACAAATATGATGGAATGTTTAAAACATTATTTTATTTTGTTGCTGCATAAATATCACAATTTCCTAGATAAATCATGTTCATAGTAAAAATGGATACAAAAAGAAAGTTCTTTATAGCTACTTATTATAACTTTATTTACTTAATTATATTATGTCTCGATAACCAGGTTGACAGTGTCAAATCAGGACGACACGAGTCTACCAGTATGGACATTTCGTATGTGGTTTCTCGGACTCCTTTCGTGTTCAATTCTGGCATTTCTCAATACATTTTTCAGTTATCGGACACAACCATTGAGCATAAGTATGATAACTGTTCAAATCGCGGCGTTGCCAGTGGGAAAACTCATGGCTAAAGTGTTGCCAACAAGGAAATTTAAGATAGGATCATGGGAGTTTTCATTGAATCCAGGACCATTTAACATGAAAGAACATGTTTTGATTTCAATATTTGCAAATTGTGGTGCTGGGACAGCTTATGCTGTTTCAATTGTGACTATTATTAAGGCATTTTATTTGAGGAATATATCATTTGTGGCTGGTTGGGTTCTTGTTGTTACCACTCAGGTAATTTTCATCTTTAATAGTTCAATAGGTGAGAATTGTTCAAAACGTATTAAAGGACCAATGTGAGACTTCTCACGAGTCACGCCCAAGGCTAGACATCTGGTGTGTGTGGATAAGAGGGTTAGAAATGAGAATTGAGAATTAGGAAGTATTTAGCTCTGATACTATTTTAAAGGAATAGATTTTAAGCTTGACTCATTCACAAAAGGTAGTTTAAGAGGTGAGATTGTCCAAATTATGTTAAAAGAGACCACTGATTACTTAAAGAGATGATTTTGATACTCTTCAAACGTGTGTCTATATTTATTACAAACAGACTAAAAAAGAGAATTTCGCATGATTTATATGTTGCACGGGAGATTGAACACACGAAACAAAGTCTACTATTTAAGTTGGGAAGTTTCACACTTCACAAAGTGTTGACTCTACTAATCAACTAGAGTTTGGGACGAAAGCCTACATGGGAATTCTTGAAACCCGTGTAGGCTTTTGGCCCAACTCCAATAACTGTTAAGGTAATAGGAATGTCCACGTGGTGAGGGGTAAAGTCGTGTGTATCCTTATATTATAATCAGAGACTAAGGTTAAGTTCTCTTATAACTTTTTGAGAATTTTTTTTAAAAAAAATTGTCCATGTAACAAAAATATTTATTTTTAAAAATAATACACTTCATACCTATTAACCTAACATGGTGAATTTGATCAGGTTTTGGGGTATGGATGGGCTGGGATAATGAGAAAGTATGTTGTAGACCCTGCAGAAATGTGGTGGCCTGGCTGTATGGTTATAGTCTCTCTATTCAGGTAATTATTTGACGCGCGATACTACTTAGGTACCTGATTAATTCAAATTCATATCACATTAACTTACTCATGAAATTCTTTTTAACAGGGCACTACATGAAAAAGACGCGGATGGTAAAAGCTCAAGAGGAAAATTCTTCTTAGTAGTTCTAGCTTGTAGCTTTATTTGGTACATAGTACCAGGATTTCTCTTCCCAACATTATCAAACATTTCATTACTTTGCCTTTTTTATCCAAAATCAGTGATAGCACATCAACTAGGGTCAGGAATGAAAGGGCTTGGGATATTATCATTTACATTTGATTGGTCAGTTGTGGCATCATATCTTGGAAGTCCATTGGTATGTCCATTATTTGCAATAGTAAATGTTGTAGTAGGGTATGTTTTTGTGGTCTATATAATGATACCAATATCATATTGGGGGTATGATATTTACAATGCAAAGACATTTCCAATATTGTCTTCACATTTGTTTAATGCACAAGGACAAAAGTATGATATTCACAGAATTGTTAATGATAAATTTGAGTTGGATCAAGTGGCTTATGGGAAACAAGGAAGGATTAATATAAGCACTTTTTTTGCACTTTCTTATGGATTGAATTTTGCTGCTGTTGTTGCTACTCTCACTCAAGTTGGTCTCTTCAATGGAAAGTAAGACTTCTTCTTTTTTGTTTTATAATAATAATAGTTTGATCTGTCGAGCTGTTAGAAACGACTTTTTAGTTATATTAATAGTTTATTTATGTCGAGCTGCTGAAAAGTTTTTTTTTTTATCATAATAGTTTGTTCTGTCGAGCTGTTGAAAAGTCCTTTTTTAATAAATAGTCTGTTTTGTCAAGATGTTGAAAAGTCTTTTTTTATAATAACAGTTAGTTTAGTCGAGCTGTTGAAACATCTTCTTTTTTATATAATAGTGTGTTCTGTCGAGCGGTTGAAAATCTCCTTTTTTATATTAGTAGTTTATTCTGTCGAGCTGTTGAAAAGTCTTTTCTTTTATCATAATAGTTTGTTTTGTCAAGCTGTTGAAAAGTCAAAAGTGTTTATTTTGTGTTTTAACTAGCTTTTAGGGAGGGAAATAAGAATTTTTTAAAGTAATTATAGAATATAATAAGATTGTTTTTAGAAATGAAAAGAATCAGTTTTATTTTTTCTATAAAAGCACTTTTAACTTCAAATTTTGTATCTAAATTATTCTTAGTCAAGCTGATTTTTTTTTATAAACAGTAGTGACAGATTTTATTGTTTAGCTCTATCAATTTATTTGTTGCTAACTTTTTGTTTTTTAATAAACACAAATTGTTGCTCTAATTGGAAAAAATATTTCCAAACGGATTATTTAAACACAATTGTTACTTCGCAAATGTACTTTTTTTTAAAAAAAATATTTCATTTTTATTCGTCACTTTGAACATAACAAGGGAAAAAAATCACATTTTATCCTTAGCATTAATTACTTTTTCTCCAAATTATTTTTTAAGACCTATTACTAAACATCGATTAAATACGAATATGATGGTAAAATACTCATATCTTCCATTATTTCTTTACGGACGTACTGAATGTTTTGATTTTCCACCTAATGCCCGATATCTACGCAGAAACCTAATTATTTCATTTGAATTGGCATCGAAAAGTCCCACATACTAATTGGTATTTGTTAATTTGTTTAGGGAAATAATTTCTAGATTTCGAGCTTCAAATAAATCAGGGAAATCTGATGATATCCACACAAAACTTATGAAAAAATATCCAGACATTCCTGGCTGGTGGTTTCATGGAATGCTTGTAGTTTCATTGGTTTTATCACTTATACTTTGCATTGTGTGGGTTGATCAAGTTCAACTTCCATGGTGGGGTCTTCTTTTGGCTGCTGCCATTGCCTTGATTTTCACTCTCCCTATAAGCATCATCACAGCCACAACAAACATGGTAAGTAATTAATACTCTTTCGGTTCCGTTTCAATTTATTTGTTTGATTTTTGGACTTCACATAGAGTTTAATTATGTTAATAATATATAGTAGATGTTGAACTCCTGGTCCTTGGACTAATTCACATTTTAAATCACCTTAGTGAAAATCCTGACTTCGTCACTGATTTTAAGTACTTGACACGTAGTTTAAGATATAAAGAAAAAATTTGAATATTATATCTTAAATTAAATATACTACCTAGATTAATATTGTACCGAAATGTTGTTTATTTTTTTGGTTTTAAACATGTCAAGTGAAGAGAAAAATAAAATAATTTTTTTAATGAATAAAAAAAATAAGATAGACAAATTAAAACAAAGAATAAATATAACTAGATTGTCATTTTCTATTATTGTCTTTAATATTTTGTGAGACTATAAGTAATAATAATAATGTGAATGTTCTCATTTAGTTAGATCCAATTGTTTGTTTGCTTGATTAAGTTTTCTAGACTAAACAAACATGGTAATTATTAGATTGTATATTACAATAGCAACATACTCTGTGTAATTTTAATTTAGTTTTCAATTTTTTGGTGCATGGAATATTTCTTAACTAAACAAATTTTTGCTTTTGATGACAGACACCAGGATTAAATGTGATGACAGAATATATTATTGGTCTAATAATTCCAGGGAGACCAATAGCCAATGTTTGTTTTAAAACATTTGGATATATAAGTATGGCACAAGCTGTTTCATTTTTAGCTGATTTTAAGCTAGGACATTATATGAAGATTCCTCCAAGATCAATGTTCATTGTTCAGGTATTATATTATATTATATTATATTAATTAATTAATTAAATTACTCGTTTTTGTCCTCGTTTATAAAAACAGAATTCATGGATAGACACTTTAATTTGACTTCCATTAGCGTGCATGAAGTTGAACTCCTCCACTTTCAATATGACCTATATTTAGATATCTTAACTCGTCTCCGGTGACTGAAATTGATTATGAAGTAATATATGCACTAGTTCGAATGTTCTTTTTTTTTGGCATAATACATTAATATGTCTTTTAATTTGGGCTCATTTTATATTTATGTCTTTCAACTTTAGGTGTGCACAAGTAGCTAGACACTTAAACTAATATAAAGTTGAACAAATAGACTCACATGTCTTAAGCGGCATCCTACGTGACAATTTGTTTCCTACGTGGTCTCCTGCGTGTATTATGCCACATAAGACTTTATATGTTTACCTGTTCAACTTTATACAAGTTTAAGTGTCAGCTTGTGCACACACAAAATTTGAGGGCATAAACGTGAAATGATGTCAAGTTAAAAGGACGCATTTATATATGCGACATTATAAATGTCTCTAAACCTTTGACATTAATGTGAATAAATGTGAATAAAGATTTTAGCTCTCTTTGTTAATATGCATATTTATTGCCGCTAAAAGCTATTTTTGCTATAGTATATGCCTGATCATCCCTTCATAAGTTTGTTAGCAAACTAGTTGTTGCTATAATGTACTTTTGATTATCTTCTTAAACTTGTAGTAAATTGAATAAGTATACACATGTGTTTTACCTAGCATAATACATGTGGAACACAATATTGCCATGTAGGATGTCATGTAGAACGGATGTGTCTAATTGATCAACTTTATACAAATTTAAGTGTATACTTGTGCACACCCAAAGTAAAAGGTCAAAGATGTCAGCTGACGCCAAGTTAATGATCATGTCTCCGTAATTATTTTATTTAAGTACTGTACATGATATTCAATAAGCTGATTTTTTTGTTGTTGAAACAGTTGCTTGGAACATTGATTGCTGGTACAATAAACATGACTGTAGCATGGTGGCTACTTACAAACATTGATAATATATGCCAAGATGCATTACTCCCAGTAAATAGTCCATGGACATGTCCAGGAAGTCGCGTCTTTTTCGATGCATCGGTTATCTGGGGTTTAGTAGGACCTAAAAGAATGTTTGGTGATCTTGGAAACTACGGTGCACTAAATTGGTTCTTTCTTGGTGGTTTATGTGCACCAATTATAGTATGGTTGTTACATAAAGCATTCCCAAAACAAAGTTGGATTAAATTGATTAACATTCCAGTACTTTTAGGTGCAACTGCAAGTATGCCTCCAGCAACACCTTTGAACTTCAATAGTTGGATTGTCTTTGCTATTATATTCAATTACTTCATTTTCAAATACCAAAAGAAGTGGTGGCAAAAGTATAATTATGTTCTCTCAGCTGCATTGGATGCTGGATTAGCATTTATGGGAGTTTTTATATATTTCTTCCTTGATAAAGTTAAACTTAATTGGTGGGGTACTGGAGGAGAATATTGTGGTTTGGCTAGTTGTCCTACTGCTAAAGGCATCGCGGTTCATGGATGTCCTTTGCATTGACGTGCTCGTTTTGGACTTGGTCATGCTTGATCATGAGTTGATCAAGGTCATGTGTGCAATGGTTTAATATGGTTATTGATCAGGCCAATGATATGTATAGTTGTTGATGAAGGATGTCTTTTGAGCTGGTCAGACTCATGTGTGACGGTATATATATATATATATATATATATATATATATATATATATATATATATAGTTGTTGAAGAATGTCCTTTTTGTGTTGATTTCACTATAACAATAGTCGTTTTCTTCTCAAACTTGCACGTCCCTCTTTGAGTTGATCAGTTCATGTGCCACAATATCATTGAAGAATTCACCATTGTTATTATTTGTCGCGCTCTTAAAAGCATGTTTGTACAAAATTACCTTCTTATAGGAAGTTAACCCCTAACTTGTGTCATTGTAGATTCTTAAGTAACCTTAACTTGTGTAAATATTTCTCACACTAAGGTAATCCTCCACACAATGTAATTTTTTTTTTAGGATTCTTTGAAGTTCAGTTTGATGTATGGACTTGATCATTCAATGAGTAATTAATTTTTTTTGTAGTATTGGTGATCTTTTCTTGCTTGTTTGTATATTTTTCCTTTTCTTGTAGTATTCAATGTCCTAATTCATTTTCTGATGTCTTTTTGTTATTGTTATTAACCTGTACTTATAAGGTTAGTCAAAAAACAGAAATAGAAATAAGATGAAGTAGACAGAAAATAAAATAATCCGAGTTCACAAAAATTACTGTGTCTCCTTAAGAAATTTAATACCCTCTCACTGTAATTGAGGTTATGGATTAATTCTACCAAGATAAAACAGATTAATCCTGTTAAAGAAATAGCCGGTACCTCAAACTTCTTTAACTTCAGCGAACTTAAAAATAGTAACAAGTCACACAAACTCAGTCTATCGACACTTTGATTTTGAGAGAAAATATATATATTCAGAGAAGGAAAAAAAATTCGGTATTTGAAAAACAAAAAAATGACTTCCTTTTATAACCATTTTCAACAAGAAACATGTCTGTTTTGAGAAATCTGTTCAGACCCGTTTTATCCAGAAAGTTGCGTCTTTTGGGAAAAATAACAACTTTTCAAAAAATGTGTATGTTGGGAAAGTAACGACTTATTGGAACGTTACCGTTATACGCGAATTAATTATGTTAATTAACTAACGTCCTAAATTAATTTATAAGAGATAAGATTAACAGGATTTATTTGATTAACAAAAATTGATTAAATAAATTTTGTCCAAAAAATTTATCAATCAAATCATTTGCCAAATCCAAGCGACAACGACGGAGCAAGAGGACACCTTCTTCTTAGCTCTTTAAGAAGTAAAGGAAGTGTTTCCTTATACAAGGACAACAATTTCCCTTTCTTTTGCCGATGTAGGAGAAATGACTTTTCATTTGCACATTGCAAATGACTTTTCATTTTCCCTCCAAATTGGTTCCCTCACTTTTCCATATTCTCTCTTCTTTTCCCATTCACACTTTGCTAAACCCAACAATTGTGGATCAGTTTCATTAATAGTTGAAGTTAAATTAAATTTTAGATCAACTCAACAGGTTCTAGACTAGTTTTAACAGTGTTGTCAAAAGCAAAAAGCACAAAAAAACACTTAAGGTCCGATGGGGGTTTAAGTGCAAGCTCTAATGAAAAATTAAATACGAAGGGAGAAACTAATACAAATATAGATGTTAAGTGCAAGACTAATAATTATAGACATGAATGACAAATATATGGACAAAATAGTGTTTCCCCTTCAGAAGAAGCTCATTGACAAAGAAAAGTATGTTTTAGAACATTGATGACAACACTAATAGCGCACATTACGTGCATCTTCTCCACTAATGCAGTGACAGCCTGAAGTATTTCAGTATGACAAGAGTCAAGAATCCCGATCATTGGAGTTTATATGTTGCTTTCAAATTATATGCACGCGAAAATTACCTCAATTTTGTAGTTCCTGGCATTTCATAGTGTTGTAGTTGTGGTTGGCTTAACTGGAGATGAAGAGGTGCGAGAGGGTCCTCTTTGACGCTTAGACTGCTTGAACTCGTGGCCATTTTGCTCACTACATTTGAATCTCTATTTCCATAAACCTGATTTTCGAACAGGACATGTAGAATATTTTTTGAAGCAGAAAGACTGAGGTTTTTGTTTTGATTTTTAAGAAGGAAATTATTAACTACTAGCATAGGCGAAATCTTTTCTAGTGAAATATACCAATACCTTCTTATACAATTCCATATTTTCTCGACGAACAATGTCTAGTTTTTTATGAAGTTCCTTGTTTTCTTGATGGCTGAAATTTCTCTGCAAAGAAACAGATGAAGTTGGCTTGTTAACTTATTTTTTTAGGATAAATGACAACAAGTGTGTCGCAGTTAGGGGTTGACCTTTCGGTTTAGTTCTTGTACCTCGTTAATCAGAATTTGGTCCTACAGAAATCAGAGGTTGTCAGTGCTATTTATACAAATAATTTAGCATATTTGGAGGTGAAAGCTCATACCTTTTTCGCACGGACACCACGCAGACTTGTTTCAAGTTGCTTTTCCAAGTTCTGTAAATCTTTGACATTCAGTCCTGATAGTTCTTCACCCATCATTTTTCTGCCAGAGAAGCAATGTTTTAAGCCAATTTAGGCCTTTAATATAAATCCACTGGTAAAATGACTATGACTGCAAGCATATGTTTTGCCTCTAAAAGTAACTAAAACGACTTAGGAAAAAAAAACGGATCCATAAACATCAAATCCTAGCCTCCACCTTTGTTGTTAGTCATATTGCATCAAAGATATTGTTATCTTCTTCTGAATATAACAACTCCATTTTAGAATATCACTCGTATACTTGCATGTTATGAGAGTCTCCATGATCATAGCAGAGACCCAAGTCACTTTCTTGTCGTGCTGTCTATTCTGGGCACGTATGATGCCAGAAAATTTTTAGCCATTTTTCAATATTCTGTCTGTTGCCTTTGGTTTTAGTCCTATTGGTAGTTTAATGTCATTCACTCAGAACTTGAATAATTATGCTAGTTGGGGTGAAAGAGCTTACCGATGATTCCTTTGCAAGTTCTCTAGTTGTTGCCTCAGCAGTGCAGCTTCCCTTTGCCAAAACTGCGACAAGAAGATATTCCAGTAGCTTGGATTTATCAATAAAAGAGAAATCAATAGAATGAGCCTTTCAGAAATGGCTTGATAAGATCGTTTCACATATCAAAAACCATAACAAGCCTTTCAATAATGGTTTGAAGACAATAATGAACTACTGTTGCTTTCTAGAATTAGCATCGATTAACCAAAACAGAAACATACTATTTCAAAAGCAAACCATAATTAACCTTTCAATATGTGTTGAAGAAAATAATGAGCTACTGTTGCTTTACCATCATGTTTGAATTTTGTATGACAATTTACACTATTGGTTCCTCATCTAATACTTCCATTCACCTCGTGTAATACAACTTAAGATTCCAACCTCATCTGGTGGTGCAAGATAGAACCCCTGGTGGCTTGGAATGGATGACTGTAACTTTCACTGCACCGAGACAGCATGACAAATTAAAGGCCTCTTACAGAAACTTTTTGGTTTGGTAAATTAGTGTTCATTATTTAGTTTATAAAATTCCGTATATTAGCTTAAGATTGAGGTTGATATGTAGTTCTTTAATGTTGTATTGAAGACAACATTGACAAACCTTTTCCCTCTCTAGTGAGTTAATATTCTCAATGTATGAATTCCAAGTAATATGTGCATAGTTCTTACTGTCAACATTTATTATGCATGAAGATGTTCAGTTTGAGAAAAGGGGAGTCTTTCAGTTTATGTTTTTGCCTGTGCTAGCTCCTACATCACCATTATCCCTGTCTCTAAATGCTGGCACTTCTACTCATTAGTTTATTGGCATTTGGGTATAAGACATAGGATTGGCATGCATCCGGGTGTGTATCGTGAGAGCTTGGATTTCCTTCAACTAATCATTTTTGCATTTGCAGAAGTTATTGCATCTTCAGTGAGTTGAAAATAATTGGCAATCGAGTAAAATGACGGTACGACATATTTTGGGAATACGGTCTAGAGGATTTTATCTCTTGAGTTCAGATATAGCTCTAGACGACAAGTCAAGTGTGACCATCTTCACAAAAAAAGAGTCTAGCTGTGCAATTTGTATTTCTCGAAGGTAACATTGGCAGGGGCTTAATTTTCCTGCATATCAAGAAAATGTGTAGCACATTGTTTTTATATTGCAGAAGACCTAACTGCATTCTCGTACCCATGGTGTTGGCTTAAGCTGAATCACTTAGATTCCTGTAATATAGCAAACCTTTCTGCTTTTCTTGAACAGGAAATTATGACTTGGAACCCCAATTAGAACTTATTCCTTAGTTCCAACGAGATGCCCATACTCGAAACTGTTTACTGTTATAACTTATAAGTATATTTGGTATATATTCTACGAGCAGTAGATGCCATATGATGGTGGCATTAACATCTCAGCACAAATCTCAGATATGTGATAAATCATGTCAGCACTGAGCAGTCATATTTGGGTTAAAAGACACCTGATTAAGAGGGTTCAAGAGCTGCTTCTGTGATCCATCTATACCAGAAAATACAGACCAACCATTTCCATTTCCATTTCCATGCTCTAACTGAACTACTAAGGCACTCGGCCAGATATGCAACTTCTGAAAGTGTGAAGGTCCAAAGTTTCTATTCTTTTCCCTCTAATCACATAATCTTCACCTATGTTCTGACCTGCACCACTGAATACTGCTCGGTAAAGCAAAACAAACTATTTTTTAAGGAAGTTTTTATCCCTTTGCTTCTTCTCATAATCTAAAGAACAGATCTTCTGACCCTGAAACAATTGCAAAGAAGGATTTAGAATCTCGAAATAGCAGAGATGATATGACTAGGCTAAGATTGTCTGTAGTCTTGTAAAGCTGGATACTGTTGTTTGAATCAAAGACCTTCAACCAGTGTATCCCAATTCCCAGAATGTCATTATGGTATTGGAAGAGTGGCCAAATTTGTAACAGCTCCATGTTATTGTCATCTTGGTATAAAGTTTAGTTACACCGTTAAGGATATTGAGTGGACCTAATGGTCATAATCCGGTTATTGTCATCCTGACTTTTTTACTTACCAGTTCATAGATGTTACAAGTCTTTTTCGGATGTGGTTTTTGGAAGTTGTTTCAGGTCCCATGACGAAATAAAGTGGACTTGATAAAGTAAACCTGTAAAAATTTCTTCCCTGGTGAGCCATTAAGATGAAACAATTTTTCAGAGACTTTGATTGTGTTATTAAAAAATCTTCCCTCTTGGCCCACCATCTTTGTAGCTGTCAACTCCGAATACATTTTTACTTTGCTGTATCTTAACTAGCAAGTTCTTTTTTTTCCTAGTTATTCTTGGCCACAAAGCTAACCCTTTGTTAGTTGTATTGGCCTTCATCATAGGTTCCATCATTAGATGATTCCTCCTTTTCTCCATAATTGAAGGATCAAATGGGGATGGTATAACAGATATCTGCTAATGAGAATTT